CCCTCAGAGAGTGAAGCCAGAGTAAGTCATGTATCCGTATGAAGTTTATCATTGAGAGAATGAGAGAACATTTGTGAGGTTCTTTGTAAAACTTAAAGTGCTGCAGGAATGCCAGCTAAGTTTACTATTAGCTGTTGTCTTAGTATAGGATGTTGGTCCAAATGTCGTTTTTGCCAGACTGCTGTCAAGTTTTCCCCATGGTTTAAATCAAAATAATGAGTCCTTAGCAAGTAACAGGGACAATCTTCGGGCTTGCTAAACACTAGATTACCAGGATGATTGTATGGTGTGGAACCTATTCCTTTGATCTTCCTCCATTTCTTAACCAGCAGCAAATCATTTTGATGCTGATGGCTTTGTAGCAGAATTGACGCCTGGTCTTGTGAGACCATCTTTTCTTCTCACCTTTTAACCCCATTATTTTCCTTGACATTCTTGACCTTCTGTTCCTCAAGATGAATTTCATTGTTGTCGTCATCATCATCATCATCATCAATCATTCTCATTTTATTTTATTTTATTTTATTTATTTTTTTAATATGAATTTATTTATTTTTAGTTTTCAATATTCACTTCCACAAGTTTTTGAGTTCCAAATTTCTCACCCCTCCCCCCACCCCAAGATGGCATGCATTCTGAATACCCCTTCCCCTGGTCTGCCTTCTCTTCTATCTCCCCCCTCCCTTCTCTTATCCCCTTCCCCTTCTATTTTCCTGTAGAGCAGGATAGACTTCTGTACTCCATTTCCTGTATTTCTTATTTCCCAGTTGCATGTGAAAACACTTTTTTTTAAAACATGTGTTTTTAAAACTTTGAGTTCCAAATTTTCTCCCTTCCTCCCTCCCCCACCCATCCTCATTGAAAAGGCAAGCAACTCAATATAGGTTGTACATGTGCAGTTATGCAAAACACTTCCTTAGTAGACATGTTGTAAAAAACTAACTCTATTTCCCTTAATCCTGTCCTGCCCTCCCATTTATTCTATTCTTTCTTTTGACCCTGTCCCTCCTCAGAAGTATTTGCTTCTGATTACCCTCTTTCCCAATCTGCCCTCCTCTCTGTCACCCCCCTGCTCTCTTGTCCCCTTCTCCCCCTATTTTCCTGCAGGGTAAGAGAGATTTCCATATCCAATTGAATGTGTATGTTATTCTCTCCTTAAGCCAAATCCTATGAGAATAAGATTCCCTCTCATTCCCTCTCACCTTCCCCTGTTTCCCCTCCACTGTGAGAGACTTTTCTTTTCTGTTTTATTTGTGAGATAATTTACCCCCTTCTACCTCTGCCTTTCTTCTCCCAGTATCATCCTCTCTCATCCCTTAATTTTATTCTCCAGATATGACCCCTTAATCTTTAACTCACCCTGTGCCCTCTATCTATCTATCTATATATACATGCATACAATTTTTTTCCTTCAACTACCCTAATACTGACAAAGTTCTCATGGGGTTACAAATATCATCTTTCCATGCAGGAATGTAAACAGTTCAATCTTAATAAGTTGCTTATGATTTCTCTTTCCTGTTTACCTCTTCATGTTCCACTGGAGTCCTGTATTTGAAAGTCAAATTTTCTGTTTAGCTCTGGTCTTTTCATCAGGAATGCTTGCAAGTCCTCTATTTCACTGAATGACCATTTTTTCCCCTGAAGGATTATACTCAATTTTGCTGGGTAGGTGATTCTTGGTTGTAATCCTATGTCCTTTGCCCTCAATCATTCTCATTTTAATGGCTCCTTGGTGATTGGTTTGGCCAGGGGAGTGCTGGAGCCAGCTCTAACAGCTTCTGAACAGATCATTAAATTTTTAGTCTGAGTATTTATACCTCAGAAATCAGCTATCATTACAAATCAGGGCTTGATTTATGATTTTGCTAATTGTTAATAAAATGTTAATAATGCAGATGCAACTGAAAAATGTATGTGGATACATGCACTCCCAGCCCCCAGTCTGGTTGTTAAACATTTACCAACAAACCCTTGTATTGCACTATAAACAGGGCTTGAGTGTGGCAGGAGAGCAGTAGAAGGCTCATTGAATAAAGTCGTCAGCAAACTGGGGGATTGGTACCTGGAGTCTAATAATGATAATGATAATACTAACAATAATTGTTGTTGTTCAGTCATGTTCAACTCTTCATGACCCTGTGGATCATAGCATGCCAATACTATCCATGGTTTGTTTTTTTGTTTAATTTTTTTGGCAAGAGTACTAGAGCGGTTTGCCATTTCCTTCTCCAGTAGATCAAGGCAAGCAGAGGTTAAATAACTTGCTCAGGGTCACACAGCTAGTAAGTGTCTGAGGCCAAATCTGAACTCATGTCTTCCTGATTCCAGGCCCAGGGCTTTATCTACTGAGCCAACTAGCTGCCTCTGAATACTAACAATGAGTGGCCTTTATGTAGCACATTAGCTTGTCAAAGGGCTTTATATCCATTATCTTATTGGAACCTCACAATATCCCTGGGTGTAGCCCTGAATAAATAAATTAATTTAGGTAGTATTGTCATTTTTATTATATTGGCTTGGCCACTTAACGAGCAATTGCTATTTTTCTGATTATTTAGGTGTAGAGTGTTTTGTAGTTGCATCCCCTTTTGGTGAATTCTTGAAATTCCTAAAGGATGGGGGAGTAAAGCCTTAGTAGTTAGAGTTTTCTGGATTTTCCTCCAAAACCTGACCCTGTCTGGACAGAAAATAGTCACAAAACTAGGGAAGATTCTCTCTGCCATGTGAGTTGGTTAGAAGGAGACTTCCATGAAGGTAAGATCTAGGAGTTTAGCCTTTGCATGGTGAATACAGCTACTGTTTGGTTTTAATAGAAACCAGTTATTAATGAAAATGATCAGGGAAGCTCCTCTAAGTTCTAATTGCTGTGCTAGCCACCCCCCCCCCTTAAATTTGAGCTTATTAACTCTAGTGAGGAAGATGGCCAGGGCTTTGTAATGGATATGTCACTGAGCCTACAAAAGTTTTTACTGCTCAGAGGGTGAGTGGACTACTTACAGTGACAGGATTTTAGTTCCACGAGGAAAACATTCACTTCTACTTATGAACTGGGAGGAAAATTCCCTTAGTGGTGCAGAGTCAAAGAGATGGGTGGCGGAGTGCACAGAGAAGCCACCCATTCTGTGGTTCCTTGGAAAGGCTGCTCCAAAGGAGATTGTAATTGTAGTTGTGACAAACAGTTGTCTCTTGAAGATCTAAAAAACCATAAAGATCAACCTTATAACAAGTGGATGTTTACGGATTCTCAAAAGACCATGTCGTAGGAGAAATGACCACAATTCCATGCTACCTAAATTGGACAGAGTTGCCATCTAGTGGCAACACTCTAGAACAGCATGCACATCGCATCATCCCTAGGGCTAGGATTTGTCAGAATACAGCACTCCGCCGTATTCCAGGCACTGTGCTAAGTAGGTGCCGGGGATACAGAGAAAGGCAAAAACAGACCTTGCTGTCAGGGAGCTCACAATCTAATGGGAGAGACAACTATCTACATATTTAACTGTGCATATGCATATTCTATCCTCCCCTGTCCCCATCCTCTGTCCACCCCACCCCCAGCCAGAAGGGCAAGAATGTTGCGTTGTATTCCTCCCCCGGGGTTCTCTAGAACCCTTCAGTTTCTGCCATTGGTTCAATCCATACAAACAGTATTCCCCTAGTTTTAGGTGTCTCCAACACTCCAGTTCCATTTAATCATATAACAGATTATCTTTTAGAAAGGAATATTTACTTCAAATGCATAGAAAGAGCAAACATTAAGTTTGAGGAAGCTGAGTGGGTTGTCAATCTAACTTAAACACTCCATCCCTGTTCACATTCAGAGACTCTGAAGCCACAAAATGGATTTTCTTACTTGCTAACATTAACAAGCCAGACTTGACTGGAGAGCATAAGTTCATGGGATCACAGACTTTAGGGCAGAAAGGCCGCTCCACTTAGTTCAATTCAACAAGCATTTGTTAGGACAGAATGATCACGAGATGATGTGATGCAGTGGAAAGAGACAATGGGGCAAGTCACAGTTTCTTTGGGCCTCAGTTCTTCATCCATAAAAGGAGGGAGTTGGTCTAGATGACCTCTAATGTCCCTTTGGGTTTTAAGTCAATGATTACTTGGAGTCAGGAAGACCTGATTTCATATTCTGGCCTCTGACACTTACTATCTTTATCTGTTAAATGATGTCATCTTTGAGGTTCTCTCCGAGATATATATATATATATTTCCCACATCCAGAATACCTTCCTCTCTTCAACTCCTCCTGTTTCTGTTCTACAGACCTGATCCTTCTTTTCTTCTCCCTCTACATCCTCTCTCTTGGAGATTTCATTAGCTCCCATGTATTATCTCTACACAAATGAGTCCCAAACCTATCTATCTCTCTAAAATTTATATAGCACTTTAGAGTTTGCAAAGTATTTTACAAGGACACTTACTGGCCATGAGACCTTGGACAAGTCACTTAACCTCTCTTTGCCTCAGTTTCCTCAACTGTAAAATGTGGATAATGGCCTGAATTAATTTCTGTAAGTATTGACTGATTTGATCTCCTCTCTATCCAAGGGACTCAAAAAATTCCAGCACCACAATTCAAAAGTATTGATTCTGTGGTACTCAGCTTTCCTTATAGTACAGCTCTCACAGCCACACATTGCTAGTGGAAAAAAACCCCATAGCTTTGACTATATGGACCTTTGTTGGCAAGGTGATGTCTCTGGTTTTTTTTAGTCTCTTGTCTAGATTGGCCATAGCTTTCCTTCCAGGGATCAAGAGTCTTTGAATTTCATGGCTACAATTGCCATCTGCAATGATCTTTTAGCCTAAGAATATAAATCTGACCCTGCTTTCATTTCTTCTCCCTCTATTTGCCAGGAACTGATGGGACCAGTTGCCAAGATCTTAGTTTTTTTGATGGTAAGCTTCAAGCCAGCTTTGACACTCTCTTCCTTCACCCACTTCGAGAGGCTTCGTAATTCCTGTTCACTTTCTGCCATCAGAGTAGTATCGTCTACATGTCTGAGATTTTCCGTACATACCCAGCCAGAATCTACTCCAATGCCCTGCACCTGCTGTAG